TGTGTAATCCCCAAAAGAATGAGTTGGGGAAAAACATTTGCTACCTATTTTTAAATGTAACATAAAAAATTTTTTGAAACTTGAATAGGTCCTACTTAAATTATTTTACTGCCACTGACTTTATCTAGGCCAGCGTGTTCTGTCTGAAGTTACTGCATCGAGTTCTTCCTTTGGTCCAACCCTTTGAATCTGTTTTCCACACTGTCTTCAGAGAGAGATCTATCTGAAATCTAAATCTGTTTGTGACATTTCACTGTTTAAACCACTCAGAGATTCAGAATATTAAAACCTTTGGCATAGCTTACTAGTTCCTCCTTCGCTTCTCTACCTTACTCTGTGCCCTTTTTTCTCTTGCATCCTTCCCACCAGGCTTTATCAGACTACATGTCATTCCTGAAACAGTACTCAGTCACCATGACTTCTGACTCTCAATACTGAAATTAACACTTAATACCCATTCCTTCTCCAAAACTCAAGTGGAACTTTGTTTAGGAAGGCTTCCCAGATTTCTCATCTTTCCTAAGTCTCTTCTCTGTAATCCTACAGTGCCCCCATCACACTGTGCTGTCAATGGTTTGCTTATCTGCTTTTTGCACTGGGCATTAAACTTTCATTATTGTGTGGGCAGGCAAGTTCCAATGAGTGTGTATGGGTTAATTTATTTAATTAAATTTATTGGGTGACGTTGGCTAATAAGATCATATAGGTTTCAAGTGTATGATTTCTATGGGACATGGTCTGCATATTGCAGTGTGTGCCCACCACCTGAAGCCAAATCATCTTTCATCACCACATGGTTGGCTTCCTTGACCTTTTGCTGTCCCTCCATCCCCTTCCCTCTGGTAACCGCATACTGTTGTCTATGTCTATGAGCTTCAGTTTTATATCCACATCAGAGTGAAATCATATGGTTCTTAGCTTTTTCTGACTGACCTATTTCTTTTTTCTTTTCTTTTTTTAATATATTTTTTATTGATTTTGTACAGAGAGGAAGGGAGAGAGATAGAGAGTTAGAAACATCGATGAGAGAGAGTCATCGATCAGCTGCCTCTTGCACACCCCCTACTGGGGATATGCCCGCAACCAAGGTACATGCCCTTGGCCGGAATCGAACCCGGGACCTTTCAGTCCCCAAGCCGACGCTCTGTCCATTGAGCCAAACCGGTTTCGGCTGACTGACTTATTTCATTGAGTATATTTTCAAGTCCATCCATGTTGTCCCAAATGGCAGTATGCATCTTTTCTTATTGCCGAGTAGTCTTCTTGACCTGATCCTCTATCAAAGGACACTGGCTCTCTTCATGTCTTGGCCGCTGTGAATAATGCTGCAATGAACATATATGTTTAACTGCCTCCTTATCTTCCATGTCTCCTCCCTGTGCTCTGACTATGAGAGGAATAGTGAATGCTAACTGATGAAGATGAAGGGCCAGTGTACTAGTCCTGCACACGTAAGAGCTAGGAATAAAGAGGGGAGATATGTTGGGAGCCAAGATACTTCTCAGGTAGAAACTCATTCAATGCACCTCTCTGGTGAAGTCAGACTTTTCTATTTTGTCTTAAGATTGTCTTACAAATATTTTACCTTCCACATGGGAGCACATCTTATTTGTCTGTACCCTCCACTATTCCTTGCACATATTAGACATTCAAACACGTTGATTAAAATCCAATTTAAAAGATCATTCTGATTTACAAAATTTACATCTACTTTGTGATGAAGAAGACTTTGAAAGAAAAATGTGACACACAAAATATTTGTGGAGCTCAATATCCTAACTAGAAATGTTCAGAAAAGTGTTATGAAGCCCTAGAGAGAAAGATGTAATAGAATTAAGAAGGATAAACAAACTTATTCAAATAAAATAATGGATTCTAAATTCCAAGTGTGTTGGCATGTAAATATCTTCTCAACCTCTATTTTCATATGCTTACATAGGTATATTCTAATATCAAATATTGGTCAAGCTTAACACAAAATCATGGTTTTACTGTTTGGATGAAAAACAAATGACTTTGTCATGTTCTCAATTAACTTTCTAAATATTTTTTACCCCACCCTTATTATGTTTGTATTTTAAGCAATATTGTTTTAGCAAAAACATTTTTGGAGAATTTAAATAGGCCAAATTTATTTTTCCAAAATTTTTATAGTCTGAATTTTTTTGACTCCAGTATTTTAGCCATTAATCTCTTAATCCTAAATTAAAGTTTAAATGTGTCAGTCTCCATTATTTAAACTTTGAAAACAATTATTAAAGTCTTTTTTATTATCCCCTTAGTTTATCTATCAAATTTAGTGTTCTTATTTTATTTTATTTTTTATAGATTCATCCATCAATTCCTATCTGAAAATAAATCCAGAAAAATGTAAGTTCTAAAACTCTTTCCACACAGAATTCTATTTTGAATTTCAAGTTATTGGAGTATACCTAGTGACTACTTTGGTATGAGGAAAAGTTTAATCAACCAGTGCCTGTGGAGGACTGGGGGAGAGGGGGTGGTGGTGTCTGAATTGTGTAATAAAAAAAAGAACCCACAGCAATAAAATTAGCATAAATAGTTTGGTCGGGTGTAAATGAGAGTGGGAAGTGAAAACATTTTCAAAAAGTAAGCAGTATAAAAATGAATAATGCAAAGCATGGAAAACCTAGAATGAGCATGAATTACAGAGATGGGAAATTGGAAAAAAAAATTTAAGGTAGCTATAATCATTTCTCAGTATAAAGGCACTTTAATAGTAAAGAAGATATTATATTTGTCCTTCCTTATCTTAAGTTTTGCTTTCTGCAGTTTCAATTTTCCATGGTCAACCATGGACTGAAAATATTAAATAGAAAATTCCAGAAATAAGTCCACGAGTTTTAAATTGTGCCCTGTTCTAAACACCATGATGAAATCTAGCTCTGTCCTCCTCTGCCTTGGATGTGAATCTTACCTTTGTCCGGTGTCTCCACACAGAAGATGCTACCGATCATTAATCAGTTATCAGATCAACTAATATTGCAGTGTTGTTCAAATATCCCTTATTTTACTTACTAATAGCCCCGGAGTGCAAGAGTAGTGATGTTGACAATTAAGCTATGCCAAAGAGAAGCTATGAGTGCTTTCAAGTGAAAAGTTTACGAGTACAATGTTTACGAGGACACATTTGCATAACTTTTATTACAGTATATTGTTATAATTGTTCTATTTTATTATGTTATTACTAATCTCTTACTATGCCTAATTTATAAACTTTATCATATACCTATGATAAAGAGGTTAAGGGGAGACTACTGTATATCCATCAAGACAATGCTATACTTATGTTAAAAATACTGTTCAGATACACCCAATTTGCTCTTACCTGAATTTCCTTAAATGTTTTTCCTGTTAGCAAGGGAGCATGCTTATTAAGATCAGGAAGGGACCATAATCCCTTTGGTCATCTTAGCTCTTGCTATGGACTAATAGGCACTGGTTTTTGAATTAACCCTCATATGAATTTATTGGGTATGAAGCAGTTCTTCAGTGAATAATGATTTAGTAGATGAAATCACAAGGATTAATATGCTTTGTATAGTGCCTACTACATAGAAGCTCTCTATTTTTTCCTCCTTCCATCCTTTGCAACTCTATAAAAATAAAATCATGCCCAAAAGAACGGTACAAGACAAACATGATTTATTATAAATACTTTTAACATAAATATTTTATAATGTATTGTAAAGACATTTAGCACACCACCACTACCACCATAAATACTGAACATGGTTTTATGAAAGTTACAATTTTATTATAAAAATATTTCCTAAATGCCATGATAATCTACTTGTTTTCTTCTTAACCTCAGGATAATGGCTGAGGTTAGGTTATAATTTAACCCTAGCAGCATGAAAATGTGGTGTCTTTGTTTACAAATATAGTCTAACACACCAGAATATTGATAAGGATTTCCACGTGCTCCAGATGAACTGCCAAGATATGGACAGCTGAGGCATCTCAGAGGGAAGGAGGTGGTGGGAAGAGACCAACCATAGATCTTATATGCATGTATACATTACCTATGTGCACACATAATAGGGTGGTGAAGGCCAGGGACGATGCGGAAACTCGGTTTAGGGAGGCAATGGGGGATAAAGAAGGGAACATGTGTAATACCCTCAACAATAAAGATTTAAAAAAAATTTTTAAAGAAATATACACATTACTAACTAGAAATATTACACTAAAGCTGGTAAACTGTGACCGCCAACACGGAAATCTGCAAACCTGAGAAAGCCAACAAAAATAAAAAAATGAAGACATTTGGCATCAGGTGGATATCATCTAGGATGTAGGGTTGACTTGCATTCATACCGTAGAGTCTATCACTGCCCTCAACCTTGTGAGAGGGTTAACCTGAAACACAGGCAGATAGGCAGGGTCCAGTGGGGCATAGGCAGGGGCAGACATGGCAGTTTGAGCCAGCCTACACCAACCAACCAAGTAGAGATAATAAAATGTTTCTGGACTCAAAGCGGGAGGCATGGAAAAACAAGGGAGGGCCTGCAGTCACAAGGTGTGCGAACGTATAGAAACAGAGCAAGTCCAGCATGGGGACAGAGAAAGAACACACAGGAGCAGGGACTATTCAGGCCCCTTGCTGGGCAAAAACAACTGAGGGAATCCATCAGGAAACGACACAGGTAGACACGGAGCATACAGCCCTGGACTACAGGCTTAACGGACAGCCCACTATTGGTCCTCCCTCTCCGCGCGGGGAGTCTGAATCTGCCTGTAACACACTTTCCACACTTTTGCTAATCTTCTGGCCCGGGAGCTCCTTCTTGGGCGTCGGGAGACACGTCGAGAAAACACCTCGGCTCACGTTCCCGGTTAACACTTGGACTTTCGGAGCTTGAGACGATACAGGTCCAAACACTTGCTTCGTCCTTTTTCTCCTGCTACGTCTCCGACGTGTCCCTAACCTCACAGCCTTCTGGAACGAGCTTTCCATCTTCACGGACAGCACTGGGTCAAATCTCCTCTAGACAGGTTCTCATGGTCCTCACACCGCCTCTGTTCGCGGAGAGCCGATCGAAGTCTTGGAGGTGGAAGCGAGTGGCCAGCTGGTTTACCATTTTCCTCAGGGTAAGAAACGCGGACACGGCTTGGAAAGTAAGGAACGCAGTGAAGACAATGTGCACCGCTTTTTCCAAGGGCAGATTTGTTAGGCCTTCATTGAAAAGCAAGAAGAGAATTAAAGGCAACTGCAACAGAAGGCTCAAAAGCCAGAAGCCAGCTAACTCAGGAACCTGAAATGACACACATTGAAAGCAATCAGATCAGTCAAGTGCGCTCTTCTGTTCATACAGATAAGCAAATCCTTACACTACTGTGAACCTACATTGTGAGCTGTCACTCAAAAGCAGTATGACATGGTCCTTGTCCTCAGAGAACTTATCGTCTAGGTTAGAAGAGAAAACTGACTTATGTGACAGCCCTGGAATACTACACCTTAGTGAATAGTTAAATGTGTCACTTAGAAATATAGACTGAGTGCTACAAGACGTAAGATAAGAGGCTGATCAGAGCAAGTGAAAGAATTCAGGATGTAGGCTTTTAAAGCTGGGTAGAAGGAGGAAGAGGCAAGAAGGTAATTAAACTAAGATGTGGGATGAGCATGACTGGGAATCAGTATGTCAGCTTGGAATACATGTTTAGTTTAGGAAATAGCAAGAAATACAGTGAGATAGGCTGGGTGGGGCCTAATTATGAAGGGCCTTTTAGAAAACCTTAGGAATCTTTAGGCATTATCCCAACACTCCGGTAACTACCTGTAAATGCTTAGGTAGCTTGATGATTCAGACAACATGTGCTCAGCATAGTAAATGAGTTTATAATTTCTCCTCATTTTCTTTTTAATCTTCACCCGAGGATATGTTTTTATTGGTTTTTAGAGGGAGAATAAGCGAGAGAGAGAAAAAGTGAGAGAAACATTGATGTGAGAGAGAAACGTCCATCGGCTTCCAACCAGGGATTAAACGCGCAACCTAGGTATGTGTCCTGACCAGGAATTGAACCCAAAACTTTTGATGACACTCTAACTAACTGAGCCACTCTGGCCAGGGGTCCCATTTTCTTATTTAGGATCCAAATGAACATGTTTAATTGACTGAGTATTTTCAAGACTGGTGAGAACAGGGAAAATGATCAATTCTTATGTGCTTACTATGGTCAGGTACCTTATGTATATTACTAGAGGCCCAGTGCATGAATTCGTGCACAGGTGGGGTCTGGCCAGCCCTCTAGCCTCCCATGTCCCCTCCCCGTGGCTGGCCTGGCCCAATCGGTGCAGAGGGGTTGGTCAGGGGTGGGGCCAGCTGGGGAGAGGGGCTGCAGGTGACTGGCTGGTTGGACCCGCTCCCTGGTCAAACTCTCAGTGGAGGGGGCAATTTGATTATTAGCCTTTTATTATATAAGGATTTCATTTCATTCCAACCAACTTGTGAAGTAAATATTTTCCCCATCTTATTTATTTATTATTTATTTATATATTTTCCCCCAATTTACAAATGAAGAAATCAAGGCTAACAAGATTAAGTAAATAGACCATAGTGACAAAAGAAGTAACCTTGGAGCCAGGCCTTAACTCCTTCCACCACGGTGCACTGCCCCTTCCTCGCTATGGAAGCCTTATTGCACCTATGTGTAGCACTGAGAGAAAGGGAAGGAGAGCCTACCTTTTCCTGTAGGTTACCCATGTAGCCCAGATACAGCCTGATAGCTTCAATTAAGGTTACGAGGATGATAACAGTGACCACAATGAATTTGTAGTAATCAGGCAGAATTGAATACTAAAGAAAACAAATATAAACATGCTTTTAAAATCTCACATATAGTAAAAATGACCTGGTAAGAAATAAAATATTAAGAACTTGGATTTTATTGAGAATGTAACAATGCCAGGGGATGAGCAGAAGAGACCTTAGCAGAAGTATTAAAGTTTAGACTTACTTTCATTTGAAGCATCATGATGCTGCTCATCCACCAAAGTGGGAAAAAGTAAGCATTAAAATAAAGTGACATCTGCAATGCTAAACTGGAAACCACTTCATTATCTACAACAGAAACAGAGAGAAAAGGGACAAACTTATTCCCGGTCCATGCCCGAGACAGCCTTTAGTGCCCTAGAAAAACTATCATATTGGCTCAACAAAACTACAAATGTTAAGCATCTTTATGACTATTGCCAGTACAAGGAAATATTCACCATCATATTATTTAGTTCATATATTGGTCACTTGGGGGTTTGTTTCAAACTTTTCAATTACTTTAGCATTTTGCCATTACAGTCTGCTATTTGCACACTATTGGTATAGATTAAATGTAGATTATCAATATAAATCCTACTGAGACACAATAATTATTATTACCAACTACATAGAATTCTATGTAAAGAATTTATAAAATAAAATACAGAAAATTACTCTTACAAATAAATATAAAAAAGAATCTCCCAAATTATAAGTAGACACACCCCTTTTCAGCATACCCAAATCCCAACCACTCATTAATACCCAATTAAATGCCACTTTTTCCATAGTTTTTTTTTTCTTGATTATATTCCCCAACTCCAGTAGATATCTCGTCCTTTGCAGGTATTTATCACTCTAACGTGTGTACGGTTAGCAAAGAACCATACATCCCTCACTTAAGACAGTCTAGTGTACTGAAGAGATCATGAGCTTTGGAGTCCAAGTAAACCCTGAATTCCCCAGACTCCCCAATAACTCTGGATGCCAGACTTGAGATAAGTTATTTAACCTTTTTGTCTGTCAATTTCATCTTAAAAATGGTAACACTCAAGTTATCTCACAGATTGCTTGTGAGGATTAGAGAGAATACAAATTATTTCACCCTAGCATCATGCCTGGCCCTTTCCTTTTCTTTCACTGATGTACAAGCTCAATGTAAACACAGACCACATTCTACCCACTTTTGAGATCCCCAGAGAACCTAGCATCTTACTCTAAACTGGTAAATATCAAATACACATAAGCAGAATGAATTATGAAAACATTGCCATAAGGACATCGTCAGTGTAGCTATTTGTGGTACATGAGTTTCATTTATATAAGGCTGATTACATAATATTTTGTTTTTGTGTAAGGGAGAAAGGTCCTAAATTAAAAATTTTAACAAAACTAACCCCTACATTTGCATCCTAAATTTACTAATAGAAACAGACACATATTTAGAAATCAATTGCTCTAAATGTAAGAATTTAGAAAGGTTCTTAAAATAAATTAAGAACAGATTGTTTCCTTTTCCCCCACAACTTAGTATTTTATATCTAACATTTAATAATTTTAAAATATAAGGAATAATCATGGTCTCACAGCAAGGTTTTCTTTAGCTCCAAGAATATGCCTGATTATGATCTACTTTTTAAATATGTTTATTTTTTAAAAATTGATTTTAGAGAGAAGAAGGGAGAGGGATAGAGAGAGAAGCATCAATTGGCTGCCTCCTCCATGCTCCCTACTGGGGATCTAAGGATGTATTTTTGACTAGAAATTGTACTGGCTCAGTGGATAGAGCGTCGGCCTGTGGACTGAAAGGTCCTGGGTTTGATTCTGGTCAAGGGCATGTACCTTGGTTGCGGGCACATCCCCAGTAGGAGGTATGCAAGAGGCAGCTGATCAATGATTCTCTCTCATTGATGTTTCTAGCTCTCTATCCCTCCCTCTTCCTCTCTGTAAAAAATCAATAAAATATATTTAAAAAAATAATGCAACTCTTGGTCAGCTATGGACATGGTGATGATATACATCTGTAATTACAATACAAGTAAACCTACACCAGATCCACAAAGAAAATGTGGAAAAACAATGATAAATTAGTTAGGCTGAAAATTTAGTATCTTTAGAGAGGAAACTGTAGTCAAATTTTGCAAAGCAAAGAAGTTTGTGTTAAAAATTTTTGTACAATAACATTTTAAGAGTTATGCTCTGTATTTCAGCAGATCAAACTTATAATCATGCAACTGAAAATCAAGTTAATATGTAAATGAACCTTGAAAGCAGACACGTATTCACTAAATTTTGCAAAAGTACAAGTTGAGTTCGGTAAATAGAATTTAAATTAAAACATAAATATAATATAAATCAGGGACAGCCAAACCACCAGCCAGCTGCCTGGGTTTGTGTACCAAGTGAGCTTTTTCACATTTTTAAGTGGTTGGGGGGGGGGGAAAATCAAAGAAGAATATTTTTTGACACTGAAATTCTTACGAAATTCAAATTTTAGTATCCACAAATAAAGTTTTATTGAAACACTGCCATGTCGACCTAATTACCATTATCTATAACTGTCAGAGATCTACCACGTACACTCTAAATATTTACTATCTAGCCCTTTACAGAAAATGTTTGCTGACCTGATACCTTGCACCATCAGATTCTAGAGCCTGTTAAGCCTTAGCTTTAGAAATCAGAAAAGTTAAAAACCTAATTTCTCACATTGTTTTTTTTGTTGTTGTTTTTGTTTTTTGTGTGTGTTTTTTTTTGTTTGTTTGTTTTTTGTTTTACTGTACATCCTAAACTTGGGGGGACAGGCAAGTAATGACGTTGAAAAATGCAAGTATGGAAACTGACTTTACTTTTCTCTGACCCTTTTAAAAAACCCCTAAACAGAGAAAAGAGGAAAAGATTTCCATTTCCTGCAGAGTTTGGGGATAAAAGCGTGTGGATGTGGTTGACCGTCTGTTGTCCATCAGCATGATTTAAGGAGGGGAAACTCTTTGGAGGAAATGGCTGTGACTTGTTGCCAGGTTGCACGCTGGAGCACCAGGGCATTTTGCTGGCAGGTCTGGGGAAGAGCCCTGTGTGGGGGAGGGAGGGGCAGAAGGCGGGAAGCAGGCGGTCTGCGGGAGGCGACGCAGGGTGGCCACTGTCACTGGGGAGCGGACAGCGGTTTAAAACGACTCATTGGGCCGAAACCGGTTTGGCTCAGTGGATAGAGCGTCGGTCTTCGGACTGAAAGGTCCCGGGTTCGATTCTGGTCAAGGGCATGTACTTTGGTTGCGTGCACATCCCCGGTAGGGGGTGTGCAAAAGGCAGCTGGTGAATGTTTCTCTCTCATCGACGTTTCTAGCTCTCTCTCTCTCCCTTCCTCTCTGTAAAAAATCAATAAAAAATATATTTAAAAAAATAAATAAATAAAACGACTCATTGGAAAAACTCCTTTCCATCTCTCCTGCCAGAAACCCGGCTGGTGGCGGAGCCTCCTAGTCCCGCTAGGAACGTTGAAAGAAGAACACCGTTTACCGGGGCGGGGGCTGGGTGCGGGGCTGGGAAGGGGCCACTCCCTCCATCTGGCTAACGGAGCCGGGGCCGCCCCCGCAGAGGGCGCGGGCGCGACGGGAGCCGCGAAGGCGGCTTTTATAGCATTCACCTTTTATTTTTTGAGTTAGGCCAGTTCCACCTCAGCTGCCCAGCTGGGAACCGGCGGGCCAGGCCTCCGCGTGACCAGCCCAGCACCGGCGGCCACCACGGACCTGAGTCGTCCCAGTCCTGGCCCCTCCGCCCAGGTGCTCCCGCACCGCGGCGCCCGCTGAAGGCGACGCCGCCATTTTGGGTCCTGGCAACATCCGAGCTGGGCCTCGGCGGCCACGCTCCCGGCGCTGGGCCGCGGCCACTCACCCGGGCCTTCGCTGTCCTCGGGCTCGGTCCGGTTTGAGTCCCTGAACACGGTCCGGCTGAAGTTCCCCAGCCGCAGGCGGACCGGTTCCGGCAGCTCCATGGCCCGGTTTCCGGACCTCTCACGGCGGCGGGCGGCGCGGTTCCCAAGGCAACGGGGCGCGCGCAGCCGCACGGCGCAGCCGCCGGGCCGGTGCTGAGCCTGGAGCCTGGGAGGAAGCGAGGATTTGGGAGGAAGCGGGCTCCTGCAGGGAGCCTTGGCCGGAGGCTGGAAGGTAGATTCCTTCGTCCTGTTGTGAGCCCCAATATCTTAAAAACAAATAGAAATAATAATAAAGGACCTAGGTGAGATTCCCTCACCCCTTGCTAGGAGTTAGATGCCACCTTTCTGGGAGGAAGAAGAGGACGAATGCAGAGCTTAAAAGATGTTCACGACCCAGTAGCTCCTGTTCTAGGACTACATATGTGTAACAGATAATATTCTAATCAGATATAATAGTTAAGTGTTCCTAGAAAAGTTTATATATATATTCACTATATGTGTAATGTATGTATATAGTTATATACACATACATTTGATGGAATACATTGCTGCAGCTTTTAAAAAAAATGCTTGCAATGAATATTTAAGAAAGATTAATTTCAAGTGAAAAAAAAAAAAACAGAAGTAAAACTAAATAGAAATGAGCCTAATTTAGCAAAATGTGTGTGTAAATACTTGGGGAGCAAAGGGGAGGAGGTAGCATAGTAGGTTTTGGGTGATTTAAATTTTTCAAAACATTTTTGTATTTTTCAGCTTCCTCTCAAATAAGATGTATTTTTTTAAATAAGTGAAGTAACAAATTTATTTAAAAAAACAAAACACCTACTTAAGTCCAATATACTTTTCAATCTGAAGTTGGGAATCCATATATGAGAAGGGATGAGAAGTTATACGGTGGCAGGTCAGTACCCCTAAACCCAGCGTTATTCAAGTGTCTTCTGTACATACAGAAAAGGGCAAAAACTGAACTTACTGTATAAGCATCACCCAGATTACGAAACGAAACCCTACCTGCACATCCAGAAGCTCCCCCTTCCTATCCTTTTAGTCACTAAACCACCACTTCTGACCTTTCTTGACCTCTACTAGCAGAGTTTTGCCTATTTTTATGCTTTACATAAAAGTAATACAGTAAGTGCTTTAAAAAATCTAGCTCTGTAGTAATCAAAATTATTTTTATGAAATTCCTTCATATAGTTTGTAGAGTCGTTTTTCTTGCTGCGTGGGACCCTAACTCATTAAGCTTATCCATCCTACTGTTGATGAGCATCTGTGTCTTTTCTAGTTTAGAACTATTGTAATAGTGCCACTTTTGGTAAAAGTATGCCTCTTCGTAAGCATTTGCATGCACTTGTGTTGGAGTTTATTCCTAGGAGTGGAATTGCTGGCTTCAGAATGGTTGCACCGTTTTCTATTCCTTCCAGCAATGTATGAGCAATCCTGTTGCTCCACATCCTACACCAACACTTCCTATTTTCCATCCTCTCCATCTATTCTGATGCATGTGCAGTGAACAGTATTTTCAAAGAAAAAAAAAACACATTAAAAGCCTAATATGCAAATTGTTCCCTTGGACGTGTAATTGAACCAGTAGTTTAACCACTCGCTATAATGTGTGCTGACCACCAGGGGGAGGAGTGAAACTTGGTGGGCATCGGCAATGTGCTGCGACCTCTTGTGGACTACCTGGGGCGGGGGTGACAGGGAAGGAGGTGTGATGAGAATGTGAAATCATACCTAACCTTTTAGTTTTCTGAATTTAACATTATCTGTGAAGCAATATCTCTATTGTTCTTCCAGTAAAGACAGAAGGTGCAATTAATAATATTAACCAAGTTTACCAAAAACTTGAGTGAATTACTTATTTTTAAAATATATTTTATTGATTTTTTTTATAGAGAGGATGGGAGAGGGATAGAGAATTAGGAACATTGATGAGAGAGAAACATTGATCAGCTGCCTCCTGCATACTCCCTACTAGGTATGTGCCCACAACCAAGGTACATGCCCTTGACCAGAACCGATCCACGGGCTAATGCTCTATCCACTGAGCCAAACCGGTTAGGGCTTGAGTGAATTATTGTAACAATATTTTCTTAGCATTGAAATAAAGAGGTGAAACACCTTGTTCTGACTGAAATTATTTCATCAGAATTCTGGAGGAAAAAAATTATCAGAATTATAGTTTTCCCTTTTATTATTTAAGTTCCCTATAATAAACATGCCTGTCATAATTCAGAACAAATACTAAAAATAAATTGAGGAAAAAACAATGATGTGCAAAAATATATTAGAGTTTAGAGAGAGAAAAATTGTGGTTTGGAAACAATACTGCCATTATCATTACTATTTAAATTTTTTTTTAATTTAATTGATTTTTTTTTTAGAGCTATAGGAAGGGAGAGGGAGAGGGAGAGAAATATCGAAGAGAGAGTGCAACATCTATCAATTGCCATCAATTGCCTCCTGCATGCCTCCTACTAGGGATAGAGCCTGCAACCCTGGCATGTGGCCTGATCAGGAATTGAACCAGCGGCCTTTTGGTGCATGGGATGATGCCCATCTAACTGAGCCACACCGGCCAGGCCAAGAATCCTGTCATTATCGATGTCACAAATGGTCAAAAAGGCTAAAAACCTTTCCAAAAATTGTTAGTTGATGTTTATAATATTTATGGACACAATCATATTAGTTCACTACTGAAGAACAGAGAAGGGAATCCACTTTCATGGAATTAAAAAAACAATATAATTTGGGTTTCCCATCTTCTAGACCTATTATTCTGAATCTAAAGAGAGAAGTACAGAGTCTTTGTTCTTAAAATGGTGAGAATCATCCCCAGCAGGATTAGTAAATAACCCTATAAAGTTAAACTGTTTACTCTTACGACAATGTTGATGGTCAGATTAATAGCTGCTTCCCCAAGAATTGTTTAATTCCAATGGGGTTTAATTACATTTATGGTTTACTTTCTTAAATATTTTTTTTCACAAAAATTTTGAGCCTAGTACAATTGTTTGTTTCCCTTTGATAAGAGGCAACATTGTCTGGTAATAATGTATTACACTATGTGACATGATTATTTAAATTACTCCTTGGCATAATAAAAATATAAACTCTTTCTACTTGATATTAATAGTTTGCCAACAAACATTTTTAAGTGAACATGATATTCAATATATTGACTTAAAATGAACCGAGACAGTTCTGATATGACCCCATGTCAGTTTCCATATTTAAAAAAAAATCTTATTCTAGCCAAAGCCGGTTTGGCTCAGGGGTAGAGCGTCGGTCTGCAGACTGAAAAGTCCCAGGTTTGATTCCGGTCAAGGGCATGTACCTTGGTTGCGGGCACATCCCCGGTAGGGGGTGTGCAAGAGGCAGCTGGTCGATGTTTCTCTCTCATCGATGGTTCTAGCTCTCTATCTCTCTCCCTTTCTCTCTGTTAAAAATCAATAAAATATATTTTTAAAAAATCTTATTCTAAATAACCTGAAATGTAACCCAATAATCTTCAAGTTGTTGATGGCTAATAAAAGGCCTTTTGAATCTCTAGTATAATCCGTTCTATTCCGGTTTATAAAAAAGAACCAGGCTCTGGATTAAATAGAAAGTCAAATCTCATGAAAGGAAATTTCTTTACTATAAGAAGTGATATTTTAAGGCTGACTTGAATATCTAATCTTCAAAGACATCCTCCTTGAGCATTTTTATTAGGAAAATTCCCCTCCCCCCCGAAAATGCTGCTTAATTATAGTGGGTTTTTTTGGTTCTGTGGCATTTCTTTGTGTTAGCCTACCACAGTGTTCATCTGTGAAAGCAAGCTGCATCCAGCGATGTGGGAGACGGGAATGGCAAGCCCAGGGAGATCGGCAAAGAAAAACCTGCTCACGGGAACCTCAGCTCTGTCAAGCGAATTGTGATACTGGATAGAAGCAAGTGACCATCTTATTAAATAAGTAATAGTTCCATTTTTAGTAGTAACAGTATTACTGTACTAGTCATATTTTTATATTACACTATTTAAAATATTAATTCTGTCCTTTCTGGGGAAAAATTAATCTTTATATTTTATTGACTATAATAAAATATTGCTCTGCCCCGTCCCATAAATATTGATGCATTGTACCCTCTTACTTGTTTTGGATTGTGGTTCTGTGCTTTCAACAAATAGTACGCATTGTCTTCAGTAGCATACTGTACATTGCTTAGTCATACTCCGTTTTGAACCCCAATGACATCAAAGTTGTAAGAGTAGAAATCTGATAGACAATTTGGTATTGAAATGAAAGGTGTACACACAAGTAAAGAGTTCAGGTAAATTTGAATTATTATATTTATGTAGATGAATAACACAGCTCTCCAAATTTTCTTGGAGGTAAATTTGCTTTGTAAAATAGAAAGTCATTGCTATTATTCCTGCGTCCCATTCCCTTTCCCGCTGTATTTTTTAGTTGACATAGAATTGTTCTTTCTTTTTTTAACACATGCTGTGAAGATTAACAGAAGTTCTAGGTGGTTGGAAACAGGTATAATAGGAGGTCAACAGGGATGTCCTGGGCCTTAGCTCAGCTACAAAGCTGTGCACAGAAGGTGATGAGCTCATGGATTTTAAGTTCAGGAACCGCCTGTAGTTGGGCCAGCCCACTCCTCCAATCCGTCTTTTCACTTTCCACAGTTTCAGTTACTCAAGATCAACCTTGGTCCCAAAATAGTACCTGCACATTCAACTATGAACATGTGTCACTGCTTGGTGATCCAGGTTCACCAAAGCAGATGATCCTCCTTCAGATGGATTGTTAGAATGTCAATAGTAGCTAAAGTTACATCATAATCCCCATACCACTCACCTCACTTCCTCTAATCACACTGGCACTGTATCATCTCATGTCGTTACAAGAAGGGTGAGTACTGTACAATAAATATTTGGGAAAGAGACCACATTCACATAACTTTTATTACAGTCTATTGTTGTTATTGTCCTAGTTTACTATTAGTTACTAGAGGCCTGGTGCACAAAATTCATGCACGGGTAGAGTCCCTAGGCTGGCTGGTGATCA